GATAACATTTTCTTGCTAGAAGACAGAAGAAATAAATATATATATTTTAAGATCAGCATAAAAGTGTCCAGAAAAAAACTTAAACCGGAACTTAATGCTGCATACGATGCATACTCTTATAGAGTCGAGGTAAGAGATTACTCAGAATCACGACAATTTCTTTCCCCTTTTCCCAATAGAAGAGAGAAATAACTCAGGATCACGATCATTTCTTTCCCCTGTTCCCGATAAAGGTGAGAAATAACTCAGGATCACGACAATTTCTTTCCCCTTTTCCCAATAGAAGAGAGAAATAACTCAGGATCACGATCATTTCTTTCCCCTGTTCCCGATAGAGGTGAGAAATTACTCAGGATCAAGATCAGTTCTTTCCCCCTTTCCAAATTGGGATGAAAGATTATCGTAAATAAGATTGCACTCCATGCGACGTTCAACAGGGAAAGCTATTCGTGATGGAGGAAAGTTGTGGTATACATTGATGCGTCAGGATCAAGGCAACGATTGATTTCCTGCCCCAAAAAAGCACTATTAATTCAACACAATAATGCAGTACTCCAATGAAACTACGGATTGTAATAAAAAATAAACCATCTGGCCTTCTGAACTAGCAAGTGATCCTTTTCCATGATAATGACTGCTCACACGTCCTCTTTTACACCCAGACGACATTACAAAATTTCAGTTGGGAATTTTTTGAACATCCACCGTACAGTCCAGATTTGTTATCCTATAATTTTCACATCTCTCGGCCTCTCGAGAAATTATTACGAAGGACACGGCTCCATTTTAACGACGAAGTGAAAGAAGCTGTGCAGGACATCCTCCGAAAACAACCACAACCTTTCTACAGCAAAGGCATAGATCATGGGACCTGCGTCACGACAAACCATGGCGATTTCTTTTCATTTCCAATAAGGATATTTTCTTATTCAACCTGTCCACTTTTCATTTCAGCATTATTTATAGTAGCCCTATTATAGGAAATCATTGTTTTAATGAATCTATTACTGAATAAGAAATGAATAATGTTCAAATAATATCATAAAATTAAAACGCATAATTTAAAGAAAAGAAGATGTCACATAAAATACAGATGACTATTTAAAAAGAGATAACTATTTAAAATATGGGCGTTTCCTAATTAAATAAATGATTAAAATAAGGAATAACTCTTTCTTTGGCGATAGAATGGTGAACCATTTACTAATTATTCTATTATAAATTTTTCATAATTAATTTTAACCTCTATTTTGAAAAGAAATGGCAGATAATCTGAAAATTCAGATTATATATAAAAAAAATTTTACCTCTCAATTCATCATTGACAAAATAATTATATTAAATCCTTATTTTCGGTCAAGGGGTTTATTACTTTCTACAGAAGAATTGTTTTAAGTTGATGAATCATTCGAAAGGTATGAACAAAAAATGAATCATATTTAAATAACATTAAAACAACTAAACTTTAACCCTTTCGAAAGTCGTGGGAAGTATACTTACCACCACTTTTAATTTAAGTTTCCATTTGTTAATAACTTCAGCTCTCTTGAAGTGCGTTTGAATAAGTTTGGTAACCATTTGTTAGTTTAAAACAAACGGATAAAGTTATAAAATGCATAATTCCTTTTGAAGTTTGTAGCGTTTATAAAATTTATTTTATAAATAACGAAAAATAAAAGTCAATACGTTTCTAATAGTTCCTATTTATTTTTTTTTTCTTCTTATATCAATTAACAAATTCAATTCCAAAAATACTTTAATTTACCTTTACTAAAAATAAATGACCCATTAAAGGGTTAAGCAGTTAAATTGGTTAATTTATAAAAACTAACTCTTTTTTGGGGGAGGGGGATGGAAATCCGAATCCAATAAAAAAAATATATCTTTCTTCAGAATAAGAGGTCAAAATACACATTTTCTGGCTCGGTTACCATTAAATCATATTTATATTTTAGGATATTTGTTTGAGATATTGCCAAAGCACTTTACAGAATGATAATTCGACTTTTAGGGAAAGTCCACCCTAAATTCAAAAATTACGGGAGTGATCCGACTTTTTTTAATTGTGTGGTTTACATTTAAATAAATAAGTGAATAATATAATTGTTGATTTTTTTTTCTGAGCTCAGGCTATTATTACTGAAATAAATAAAATAAAATAAAGCTTTTATTTCGTATGACGAAAATTGAAAAGTTTGTTCTGATTTCTATAAGGTCTCCAACCCCAAGACCAGACTTTTTCTTAACCATTACTGTTCTTTTAGTATAAATGTTAGAATGGGTTTCTTATTATTTCCTCAAAGATACAGGCCTATCAGCTTATTAACTAGGTTAGGTAGTAAGCTGATCTATAGTTTTCAAATAATGATGAATCTTTCGCTGGTTTAGGGAATAGTATTAGTGCTGAATCCTTGCAAGAATCTGGATAAAAATTGTTTTTTAGACACATTCGCTATAGATGACAATAATTGCATTTATCTTACTTTCTAGGGAGTGTCTGAGATAATTTAAAATGAATGTGAAATGGTTTAACTTATTAAGTGGTGGACATTTTTTTTACTTCCTATTTTTTCTTATAACGAAGCATGATTCACGAAGAAAACATAACACTACTTTTATCTTAAATCTATGCTTAGAATGCACATTCAATACAAAGTAATTCCGTAACAGAATTCGCCCCTTTATATTGAATTGACAACATGACGGTTGAGAACGAGATTAATAGCTTCAAGTTGGACAAAATTATTTAAACTATTCAACACTAACTCTATATAAGCCATCGTTCTTTTAGCAATAAATGATCTGGACAATTTTGAATGGCAATTTCTTGGCAAATTTGGAAAGGTCTTGCATGAAGTCATGTTTGCAAAAGCCAAAATCGACTGAGGGCGTTTACCAAGTTCTCAGTAATACCCTTTGTTCTAGTTTTAATTCCAGAAATTATAAAATCATTCTAAAGGAGTGGAACATTTTTATGAGAATGCTTTGTTGACTATTTTCGTATTGAAAAATAAAGCTTTTAACAACCCTAGCTTTTTTTGTTGATGTTAGTCAACAAAATATATATATATATCATACCTGCCAACTTTTAATCCCTTCCATAATGATTTTTCCCAGTGGTATTAAAATGGAACAAAAATTTCAATTTTAAGTAAAAAAATTCGTTGTATTTGAAAAAGCTTAAGCTGCCTATCATGATAGTAACGCATATTAATATATATGCTTAATTTCTTTAAGAATAGTGGTGATGAAAATCATTTAAAAATTTAGTTTATAAAAGAAAAAAATAGTATATATTTACTACCACTTTAAATATAAAAATAAAATTTTACGCCAAATGCGTAAAAGTTGGCAGGTATGATATATATATATATATATATGAAAAAGCAAATGTTGTAGCTTACAATCCTAAAGTAAATGATAAATATTAGTAAAAGGATTTTTTTTTCCTAGCTTTCATAGGTTTATTTTGATTTCATGATTATATGTATTCGAGTATGAAAATTACAGCTATATGAAACACGACAGTGCTCTAATGATAGTGAATGTGCTCATTTTGGACTGTCTAGTGCACTCGAATCGACTCCAGCGAGCACGTTAAGGGGTTAAACTATGGAATACGATAAGTAATTTTAAACCTTTACACTCAAGGTTCATTCAACACTTAAAGAAAATACACAATCACGAAGAATTTCCAAGATAATACCCACAGTTTGCACAATCACCATAAAACACATAAAAGTCATTTAATTAGTGGGACAGTTGGAAATGATGCGAATCACAGTAAGCTGTCACGAAGCGTTACTTACCGATTTGTCGAAATTGTTCCGACAATTAATAAGGAAATTGTGGTAGATAGTAATAAGCAGGAGGAAGAGGGGATGACAGGTACCAAAATGGTAAGTCTAATACCACTTAACATAGGGTTAAAAAATATGATGAAAATGCAAGTAAAATAAGCATAAATAGGTGTGATAATGAAAGAAAATATTTACAAAACTATATACATAGTTACGAAAATAATCGAGTTACATGAGTCTCTTATGACTTAACAAATAATACAACAGGTAAGTTGGAAATTAAACTAACAATTATGTCTGCTGCTCTGACAATGTAAGAGCCAAGACGTCCTGGTTCTCATCCCTCGTTCCTGGGTTTATCATCACTCTGAACTTTTCAATTGGTCGATCCCTTGTGGATTGAACCATTAACACGTTCACGCCTGGAAAAGTGAAAATACTGGTACGGGAAAAGAGAAAATACTGGTAGAATACTGGATTTTTATTATTCCCGAAAAAAAATCAAAAATGAAATTTATTGTTACCAGTTTTTACTCCGGAGCGCTGCCAAGATGAGATAATCTAGCGTGACCCACCGGTGGGTCACCCCGTCGTGAACGTGTTAAATTCAGGGATATCAACTGCTCCGGATTCGGCATAATATTTTCAATAACGGTAGAGAACTACAAACTGAAATTTCCAGATTTTCGGTTAATCTTGACAACTTTTTAAAAGGTCAATATGGTTTACCGGTAACAAAGTGGCATATCACATAAGCATTTGAAAAACTTAGAAGTAGTGGTGAGTAAAAACCCTTTAAATCCAATTTACAAAACCAAGAATCACGAATTAAAAGACTATCACACTAAAATATTCATCCGCTGACCGGAGCAAATAAGATGGAGAGAGTCTTTAGCTGCGAGTACGAAAGGGGGGAACTTAGAAATGCTAACGACGACAACAGGGGCAATCTTTAGTCGTGAAGATGTGGTTTTGAAAGGAAAGAACAAAGCAATCTTTTCGAAGGCATAAAGAGCAGTCTTTCGCTGGGAGCTCAGAAAAAAGAGCAAGGAAATGCTGACGAAGACAGCAGGGACAATCTTTAGCCACAAAACTGTGATTTTTTTTTGGGGGGGGGGAGGACCAAGCAACGTATTTGAAGGCATGAAGAACAATCTTTAGCTGTGAAGTTGCGAGTTCAGAAAGAAGAGGTAAGAAATGCTGACGAAGACAACAGGGGCATACGGACATGGGAGGGAGAACAATTGCTTCTCGATGATTAAGCAGGAAAATTGGTATAAAACTGTGTAAAATAAGTCGAAATATTTGTCAGATTAATAATTATTATTGTTGAATGCAACCTTTAAATTTAAAGTAAAATTCTTTCTTCCATTTTATTAGATTCGACAACTTCACTTTCTGATTCTTCATCAATTGATATACCAAGTCTAAGGAAAAACGAAGGTATTTAAACTGTTAATCTTGCATTATTTATATATAGCTTAAGAAGCTTGAGCTAGTTCATTTTATCCCTTTCCCAATGACATTTTGCAAGTGCAATATTTAAAATTGATGTAAAACTATCCATATAAGCAACGGCACAGTTACCAATTTTCACTTAATTTGTAGAAGTAGGTAGGTACTATAATTGCGTCGCACTAGAACTGCACAATGGGCTATTAGCGACGGTCTGGGAAACATATCAGCGGATGATCCAAATACATGCCATCGCAATTTTGATCTTCTGTAGAGGGGTTGGCTCCTCTGCTTTGGAAGCCCGATGACCAGCTCACGAAGTCGAGAACTTTATTGTAGAACAGTTTAACGAGGACCGATATCTCGTACCTTCGATCCCTAAGCAGAGTGATCAAAATTATCACCAACCCGCTTTCTGACTGAAGCCAGTGGTGCTTGACTTCGGTGTTCTACTGAGAATCGTATCTTTACGATGAGTCCACAGCGGAACATTAAAATTTGCATAAAATCCATACGATTTGCGACCAATTTAGTTTTAAAAATATTGCAGGATATTCCTCTGAAGAGAGTAAGGTTCCTAAATAAATCACTACAGAAAAAATAATAATAATCGTTAAGTTACTCTCAGTCACAACTCACCTACTTTTGTCCATCATAGTCACGTGAGTTTGGTCTACCGAAAAGACCGCTAAGACTGTGAATGGTAGTAGGTCAAACTAACACCTTCACTAAAGTTTGGGTTCTATCAGTTTATATCTCTCAAACATGTAGGTGTAACAACATATCATCAAATTGCATTAAAAAAAATTTTTTTTTACTCAATCATTTCAGTAGACACATCAACAAAAGAAAAAGACATTCTTGCAAATCTCCAAGATCGTTTGCATGAAGAGTTGAAACGCCGAGTCAGTCTGACTCTAGCAAAAAAAGTTCTCGCCGTTGCGTACATAACTCCTGATTCCTCCGCAGAAGAAGTGCAATTTTGGTTGACTAGCAAAGGATTTGCTTCCAGGTTAGTTAAAAGTAACTCACTCAAGTGTTTTGAAATTTAAAAATAGTGATCAAATGAAGCTTTTTTAAAAAAAAGGTGACGAAACTACTTAATTTATTTCTGCTTTTACCAGTAATATTCGAGTTCACAACTAATAATTGAAAAAAAAATTGACATTTGAATAATTCAAACTTGCGTGTACAAAATCTATTGTTTTGGTAGTTATGCGTTGAGGAAGTTGCTTAATTTAAACAGAAATTTTAATTACTAATTTAATACCACTCTGTAAAACTTTTTCCAACTTTACAAGCTGCTAATTTTGATACGTTAGCTTATATCTTCTGTTAACATTTAAAGCTCGAGAAAAGTTTTTGAATTTTTATTATTACAATTTTTTACTCAATTTTGTAGGATTAGTATATTATTAAATTTTCACGTATTTTGAAACTGAGTTGAAAAATTTAATTAAAGAAAAATTGCGTTATCGTCTCTCTCGGGAATCCATTTTATTCTTCAATTTTTGTTTGTTTTGTAATTTTTTATTTATCACTCATAGGCAAAAATGGGCGTCGTTTTGGGTTTGAGTCGTGCGCACCTTATTTAGACGTCATCACTCTTTTCGAATGTGTTTAAGAATGATAGTAAACAGTGCGCACGCGTCGTCATAGCATGCGTTGCTATGGCGACCGCTACTGTTTGATCATTTTTTTGGAATTCTTTTTTGCACTTTTAATTTTGTTATGCATTAAGTTGGTGTTTTTATTTTTGAGATATGGGACCAGAGAGATCTCATAAATACTTCTTGAGTTGTTAATAAAAGAGAATTTCATCATTTGAACTATATTTTTGTTTTTATTGTTTTGATTAAGAGTCAGAAGTTCTAACCTACAGTTCAAACTGGATCGTTTTCAATACTAATTCAGGTGAATAAAATTAGACAACGACCATTTTGCCAATTGGTAAAGATTGATACACTCGTCACTAACTTGAATTATTATTATTAAATTTTTTTTTTTTGTCTTTTTCAGGACTCAACAAAAATTCCAGAATGTTCGAGGTGACGAAATATTCTCTCTGGAGAAGAAAGAGATGGAAAAAGAATTGGGTAATGAAGAAGGCCTACGTCTATTCAATCAGATCATTATACAAAAGAACATTTGCGGGGTAAGTAAGATACATCATTAGCAACAATTCGTAAAAAATGCGACCGCGCGCGAGTGCGTAACCCTATAAAAAGACAGAAAAGAATAAAAGAGAGATTAGAATAATAATAAAACTTTTTATTTACCCCGCATAAGATGCAAGAACATAGAACCCATAAAATTTGAATAGAATGGAAATCTATATCATATAAAACGCTAATACGTACGTATGTCTCGTATGTATGAATCAATAAAACCGATTATATTTCTTTTCTCACGCTGGCAACAGTTGTCATTTTTAATTGATTGGATTCGGCGCGCAAGAGCACGTAGTGAGCAACCAGATAACAATAACCAGAGTGAGCATTATCAGGTTGTTCAATTCAGATTCATGCACTAAAAACATGACAATATTTAATTTAAACTCAATTAGGAATTANAAATTGAAAAACGAAAAACGTGGGGCGCATGAAATACATAACAGTATATATACACATACATATACACATTTTCTTACTCATACACATGCACAGCCACATATACATCCACATACATATGCATATACACAAACATATTCCACATCCACATTCAGATACCATTACAAATATACCATACACATATTCTCAAGAGCACACATACACACACTATAGCATTACTGTTATGTATTTCATGAGCCCCACGTTTTTCGTTTTTCAATTTTTTTTTTTAATTATCATTCTCCACTACAAAAACGTGGTTTTTAAAAATATTATTTTTTACTTTGAATTTTTAATTTATCTCTCATAGGCAAGGGCGTTGCTTTGGGTTTTATGGCGTGCGCACCTTATTTGGACGTCATCACCCTTTTCGACTGTGTTCAAGAGTAAACAGTGCGCATACATCGTCATTGCTTGCGTTGCTATGGTGACCTCTGCTGTTTGATTTTTTTTTTAGAATTCCTTTTTGCACTTTTAATTTTGTTATGAATTAAATTGGTGTTTTTATTTTTGAGATATGGGACCAGAGAGATCTCATAAATACTTCTTGAGTTGTTCATACATGGGAATTTCATCATTTGAACGATATTTTCGTTTTTACTGTTTTGATTAAGAATCAGAAATTCTAACCTACAGTTCAAACTGAATCGTTTTCAATACTAATTCAGGTGAATATCACAAATAAAGAGGGTGAAAAAAATTAGACAACGACCATTTTGCCAATTGGTAAAGATTGATACACTCGTCGCTATCTTGAATGATTCTTTTTTTTTTTTTTTTTTTTTTTTTTTTTTTTTTTTTTTTTTTNTTTTGTCTTTTTCAGGACTCAACAAAAATTCCAGAACGTTCGAGGTGACGAAATATTCTCTCTGGAGAAGAAAGAGATGGAAAAAGAATTGGGTAATGAAGAAGGCCTACGTCTATTCAATCAGATCATTATACAAAAGAATATTTGCGGGGTAAGTAAGATACATCCTTAGCAACATTTCTTAAAAAGTGCGTGCGCGCGAGTTTGTAACCCAATAAAAAGACAGAAAAGAATAAAAGAGAGATTAAAATAATAATAAAACGTTTTATTTACCCCGCATAAGATGCAAGAGCATAGAACCCATAAAATTTGAATAGAATGGAAATAATATTTATTACTTAAAGGGATTTAAAATTATTTAAATTAATAGAATGAAATATGAAATTTCGAAAGCAACATTTGCAACTAAGCTTTAAAAAAAAGGGGGGAGGTTTCTTGAAGGAAACGCAGAAAAACACAAGCCGTTTCCGTTTCGTTTTAGACTTTTAAACAGCAGAAAATTCTAAAGTAATGAGACCTACGCTTTTCGAATGGGCGAGAAAGCCTGGTTGTAGGGCATTGGACCAATCTCCAAGGAGTAGTGAGTTTGATCCTCACCGGCCGAAGACTCCCCTAGTAGTAAATGGTGACTGGTGCCCGCTGAATCTGATGGGTCACAAAGCCCTCCATGTCCCGGTTAGAAATTATACCTCTAGGGTCAATGAATGGGAGATAGATCTTTCTCTGGTTCAGATCGAAATTACAAACTGAGGAAGAATGAATGGATGTATGATTGTGTCCGCCTTATAAAAGGGCTGTGATGTATGTGTGACTCCAGTCGTATTCTTGGGTATAGATGGTGCCACTGAAAACAAATTTAAGAAAATTAATTGCACCACATAAATATGGCTTAAAGTTTGCCTTGTTTTCAGTGCTATCCCTAATTTGGGTATATTTGTGTAAAATAGAGCTGTGTGCAGAGATGCCAACTGCTCCAGAAATCTTCCGAATTCGTTTGTTGTTTGCTTCGTCGAAAGTTAAATTGAAAGAACGCGGAAACTGGAAAACGCTACCCAGTACAATAATATTGGATGGTGTGCTTTTTCAAGTTTAGGCTGAAAAATCCGTCGGAAACAATAACCTGAAAGTCTTACGACAGAAAGTCTAGCGCCATCTGTGCTTAACACGTTCACGCCTGGGTATCCCACCGGTGGGTCACGCTAGATTGTCTCATCTTGACAGTGCACCGGAGTAACAACTGGTAACAACTAAATTTCTTTTTTTAATTTTTTTCCGGGAATAATAAAAATCCATAACTGCCAATTGTTTTTAACGAATGCAATTTTTATATTGAATTGCTTCTTCGCCGTGATTAATTTCCCTACAATGAAATGTTATTGTTGAGAATAGATTAACTCCTCCCGAATATTATCTAATTTTGAAATAGTTCTTCTACCAGTATTTTCACTTTTCCCGGCATGAACGTGTTAACTTTACACTGCCAATAATCCATAAAATTTACCCTTATCCCTTGTGATATGGAATTCTCTTATGCTATGAAGTCAGTGCTTTTTTAAACATCGAGAAAATAGGGGATGTTATAGAATCATCCCATTTGATTACCTTTTTTAGCAATTCGCAAAGAACGAGAGATGTTTTCACCTCCTGCACATACTATTTATATAAGCTGAACAGCATCCTCCAAAAATTAAAAAAACTGTTAGTAAGATTTCCAAACGGATATTTGGAAACTTGCTGTTTTGTTATGCAAATTATTTTAAAAATATATTTCTATTAGAGAATCTCTGCGATGGATTTCTGTTCTACAAAATACTGAATTGGAAAGGTAAAACAATAAGTTTTCAAACATCCGTTCAGAAATTTTACTCTTAGTTTTACTGTCTTAGGAGGAAACTGGTCAGCTTAATTTATGTCATGTAAATCGTCTGCTATGAAAAATTAAATTACTTCGACTTGGATATTACTTAAGATTGGATTAGAATAATTTCATAAAAGATATTAGGACTAATTTTCAGGGTATGCATGACAGTTTTACGTTACGGGAATTTTACGTTTCTTTCTGATTGAATAAAAAAGTAGTAAAACTTAAGATAGACTAATTGAACAAACATTATAATGAACAAGAATATTCTATTTTCAGTTTAAGACTCTTCGATCAAAAGAGCTGAGTTCCGTCCTGGAGGCGAGGAGAAAAAAAATAGATCCCGATGATGACATGAGTGACAGGAGAGATTCAAGCGACAGTGTTGCCACCATATCAGATCCTTCGAACTGGTTCTAAAGAGATATTATTTTAAAATATGAAGAACATGCAAAGGAGATTGTGATTAGGTTATGAAAATTGAAATTGTAATTCTTTGTGGAATAAATAATTAAAAACATTTCATAATATGTTTTGAAAGGGGATAGAACATTCTCTTCGAAATGAGGTTTACCCAAGTAAAAATCTTACATATGGCAGGTAAGTTCAAAATCAGTTCTGGTCTCACCCCCACCAATCACAGTGCTGAGATAGCCTGGTCGGAAGGACGTAGGTTTCGTAATCGTGAGAGAGGGAGTTCGTATCCAGAAAGTAATTAAATGGAGACCGGTGCACATTAAATATTAGGGTACAAAGTCCTCAAAGTTCCCATAACAAATCAATACCTCTGCCTGCGTAACATATGTTTGCCTACGTTTGATACCTGACATACCTTTGGGAAGCGAACGCTCCATGCCCTGACCCGTAGGCTAAGGGCATAGAACGCTCGACTCCTTAAAAGATGAACCGGGTTCAAATCCAGTTGATGGCTGATCGATTTGAATTCCGCACCCAGATTGCACTTACCACAGTACGTAAAATATCCTCAGCGACAGACTGGTCGAGGGTTAAAATCTCCTTACCATTAAGCCAACCGTGGAAGATTTTCGTTGTTTACCAGTTCATGTAAGACAAATGCTGGTTAGTTCCGTCAAAAAACGTCCCATACAAAGGTTAGTTTGTGCCAATGCTTGATCTAGAAGTTCCTTTGTCTTCTGGGTTGGGTTCAAAATTCTAAGGCTACGGCTATGTACTGAGTCGAGAAAAACTAACAAAAATAGATCACCCTGAAGAAATTTTGATCTAATGATCGGATTTTCGCGCTCTAAGACTCAATCTTAATAGTTTGAGAGGGTGATCTCAAATATGCTAATTTATAAGTGTAGACGATATTTTAAAATATGAAATCAGACACAAATACGTACTTGTTCTTAATAAATATACTTTTCTACGGATTCGGATTTTTGACTCCAAAAATTGCCGTAAACAGCGAAATAGTACGCAATAGCTTGATCAGGAGAGCGATCCGAAGATTGAACCTCATAATGTTAATTTTACTCTTTGCGTATTTCGCCATATCTCGAGAACTTCTTAAGTGAAATGAAAAAATTTCAAACTGAATTATAAAATTCGTTTGACAGAAGATAATTAATTCCAGGTAAAAATAAAAACTTTTTAAAAAAAATTTAAATTTTTTATTTTTTTATTTAAATTTTTGAACTGTTAGGTATGCAATTATTTGCATCACTTTAAAGAATGTAATTCTACATAACAAAATGCAAAATTTGAGTGAAATCGGTCAAATAGCTCCTGAAAAATCAAATTTTAAAAAGCTTTTTTTCTTCTTTTCTCTTTGCTCACTGTAGGGGAGAGGCGGGCACCTTTCAACAGTTTTTGCTAAAGAATTATTTTCGAACTTATATTGCCTTCAAAATCTAAGTTCTAATTTTTATTTACTAAGTTGATATTTGAGGTAACCTCTCAATTTTTTCGAAAGGTCTAAGCCAAAGACAAAATACCTAATTTTACATATTTAGTGAACCATGTATTTTGTTGAAATCTACCCCTCCTGGGGGGCAGTTTTCAACGGGTGATGGGGCACATTTCAAAAATCGAAGAGAACATAACAAGATCATACATTTTGGAAAATTAACTTTCTTCATAAAATAATAATAATAATGAATGAACATATTGGATTGATTTAGGTTTTTCCTACATTATTTTGTTTTTAATAAAATGAAAGTTTACGGAGAATGTCATGAAAAATACAACTCGAGCTGCTCCGCTGCTTAAACTTGGTTGAAGCAGTTTCATTTTAATGTCATTTCTTTCGATACAACTAATATCTTCTTTTTTTGGAAAATGAAGCATTGATTATCATGCACATGGTAATCATGCTTCCTCGCTCTCCAGAAACTACCTGCCCCACCTGACGAGCTCCTAGCTTGGCAACAACATTTGGAGCTAGAACAACTGTTAAAACCTCCAATTTCATCCAAGTTATATATTTGATCAACTGTAAAACAACCAGAAGTAAGAGCTCTCTCATAATTGTTGAAAAATTCTTCAACGTTTTCTTTATTTGTAGCTCTTGCGAAGCTGTTGTTTTCTGGTTTTCTTGAAGTAAGCTGTGAGTAACGCTTCATAAAACCTTTAACCCACTCAAGTCCAGACGTTTCATTTTTGTCCCAGCTACTTGAAATTTTGGAGTTGAAACGCTTTGCGTACTCATAGGCAAGTTGTCGAACTTGTCTGTAAGTTAGACCATAATTGAGAATTGAACATGTAATTATATATTCACAAAGCAGAGTTTCTAGCTGGACGTCAAAAACTTATTGACTTGTGTATTTAGAACTGTAGCATTTGGTGTTAGTCGTACATTGTTTGGCTTCACCAACCAATTATTTGACTTTTTTTTAATGTATAAAATAACGCTGAAAAGTCCATTCCAAATAAGTCTGCTGCTGCTCTTAAAGATGCACCATTTCTGACATCTTCCATTGCTTTTTCAATGTTTTCTTCACTAACTTCTGGTTTCGTGCACTTTTTTCTATATGTTCGCACCATTTTTATAAACTGTAAGAAGGTGAAATGACAGGATTGAGCATTTTATTAAATATGTTACATCGTAACAAACAAACATGCTTCCTTGAACACATTCGCATGTTATTCAAAAAGTTTAGAATAATGATTGATTGATTTGTTCATTTACGTCGCACTAGAGCTGCACAATGGGCTATTGGCGACGGTCTGGGATACATCCCGGAGGATGAATCGAAGACATGCCATCACAATTTCGATCCTCTGCAGAGGAGATGGCACCCCCACTTCGGTAGCCCGACGACCTGCGCGCGAAGTCGAGCACTTTACGGTAGCACAGTTAAACGAGGACCAATACCGCTCACCCTCGGTCCCTACGCAGCCTGATCCAAGTGGTCACCCACCCGCACACTGACCGCAGCCCGTGATGCTTGACTTCGGTGATCTGCGGGGAACCGTGTCTTAACGATCAGTCCACTGCGGGACATAGAATAATGCCTTATAGAAAAAGTTGGGTATTTTAAATGTAACAACCATAATTAATGGGCTTTTCGCAGACTGACGACTTCTGCAACGTGACTATTACTTAACAAAACTCAACAAAAAAATTATTGACTTGACGATTACTTAACAAAAAAATTATAAGCTCGGGGCACCTTTCAACACTGTTGAAATCTGCCCCTGGTACAGACATTTTGGTTAAAGTATTATCAGCCATTTTACAAAAAGACTTTTTATTAATAAATAATACAGTTAGAAGCAGAATTAAATAAACTATCAAATGAATAAATATCACTTACCTTATTAAAAGATTACTGGTAGATAAACAGTTTTAAAATCAAAACTATCTTTTACATTTGGAATGTTAAAACATGTACCGCAGAGTAACACAATAGTGCTAAAAAGAAAGTGCTTAAAACTAAATGTCAACAGTTAAGCATAGTTAAAGCTTATTGTCTGGCACATTGGCCATTCATTAAGCAATATTAGAAGGTAGAAATTCTAGTTGTTGAAGGGTGCCCCATGTTGAAATGTACACCCCTCTCCCCTACATTGATAGCCATAAACTCAGAATTGGATCGAATTTTCAACACCGGTTATAAAATGAAATGAAATCACAGTGTCGACCTAAAATATACTTAATGGTAGACTGAATGGTGGTGAATTAAAATCCTCGTGCTGGTTAACCAAGCGTGAGAGATTTTCGAGGTTTTCCCTCCTTAGTTACGAAAGTGTGCGTACATTAATAATCACAAACTGAAAATACATTGGCTGTAAAATAAAATAAAATATCAAAAAATGATTTAAAAAGTGAAATAATAATTTTTTGGGGACAAATATTTGTACTTTTTGAGTGATGCTTATTAGAAACATATTAAAAAATACAAGTTAAATTGAATCATATTCTAATTTTTTTAATGAAATGCTTAAATCTGACGGAAATTTCGAAATAAATTAATCAAAATTAAAAATCATTTAAGTAAATTCTTATCTATAACTCAAATTTAATTCAAAATATGAATAAAAATTTATTAAGCGTCATTTTAATAATCGTCTGTTTTTAAACCGCATGTTTCAGATACATACCTGCCAACTTTCACTCTTTCCGAGAATGGATTTTCAGAGTGGTTGTAAAACAATAAACGAAAGACAATCTGACTGAAAAATGTATTTATATTTTGATCCTGTTGAAATTCGCTTGCTCATAGATATTGTGCTTTTATATATTTATTGTAATTATTTATATGTAGTGGTGGTCAAACTCATTTATAATTATCATTATAACTCAAAAAATTAATTGGAATGACCTGAGTATTGCTACCACTTTAAATATGAAAATAAAATCTTTCGGAAAATCCTAAAGAGTTGGCAGGTATGCAGATAGATAAAAAAAAAAAAAATTTCTTAGAATTCGTGATAAATTTCCATGTAAATTACTGAAACCGGTGTTCTTTCCATCTAGCGAAATTTTTTTCTGTTAAAAGAAGAAACTTCAAACAATTTTTTTTCTTCTTTCTCATAGCTACATAATAAATGAATTGTGAAAAGATATGCATTTAGGAAAATATGCATTAGTACTACATATCGAATAAAAATAACTAAATTCAACAATAAAGAAGAACATTATACCGAGAATCATTCCAAACGCTTATTTTTATAATTTTTCATTGTACTTTTGACGGAAACCGTAATCTAGCTCAATCAATTTCAGTTGATGCATATTCTAAAATTAAATTGAGTTGTCTACATGTCGCTCCAGATGTGTGCATTAAACTTATTCTTCATTCCTTAAGCGCTACCAGGTAAGGGCACTCACCAAGGCCACCCACAAAATCCATAATTTTCACAAGCGTGTAGGGGCAGGAAGATTCCATAATACAAACGGACTTAAAAAGCAAACGAAAGGGGAAAATGCACTTAATATCGGGAAAACATTGCTGCCTGGTAGAAACACTTGGCACTTGCTTCTCAAAAGATCCCACCTACAAAATTTTAGCAGCGTTCTTTCTATAACCCTTTGTTATTTATTTATTTTTTTAA